TCTGCCAGTGTGGTAATAAAAATAATCTTAATGCAAATGGAAAACAAGATTATTCGGAGTGTCTATTACTAAGTGCAAATTTACAGTAGCTCTGCCCTCCAATGTCACACAAGGTTAAATACGACGTGCAATAACTATGGCTTCAGTGGTGTAGGCAGTAACGCGTTGGGAGCGAATAGCTAGTTTGTGACCTGAGTGACCTGGTTTGAGTCCGGCTTTTGCCGAGCTCGCTCTTCTCACTTTTCCCATCACATATCACATTAGAATTTATTTTCAATAAAAGTGAAGAAAATGTTCTAAAAGTGGAAGTAAAGTGCCTAACGAGTGTTTAATGATAAAAGTATTTATAATTTTAATAAATATAATAATTTACACTGTTATTATTGCATCCTGTTAATGTACAACAATACCGAGGTGCAAATAGTATGCATCTGCCAGTATAAAGTATAAATAGCATCTAATTATTATTTACACTTATTGCAAAGAACTGCTACGTTTACATGGTAAATAGAATATATCACTATTTTCACTATTTAGCATCTTCTAGAGCTATTTGCACTTAGCCTACTGTAAATAGGATCTATCGCTAAGAATGTATGTTAATTCCACTTAGTGTAGCCGCTGCCGTATTTTTCTTACCCTATTGGCAGATCATTTGTAAAATAAGAAAAATGCACTTAAATTATTATAATTTTCTTTTTTTTTTGCCCGTGAGATACCATGAAAATGAATAGCCAATTAGTTAAATAACCTACCGTTCTGCCAGTTTTCACCTGTGATATTATGACAGTGATAAGAATTAAACTTGTATTGCGTCTGAAGTATGCAGACGTCTTTTTGGCGGGAGCTGTGGCCATGGTGAATCATAACATCTGAGCTCCATTGATAACTCCGAGTTGGTTGAACCTCCTTATTGAAACGGGCCCCAGGTATGAAAAACAAAAACAAATTGGCAAAATAAAGAAAACGGAAGAGCTGACTAAAAAGCAACACGAAAAGAAAAAAAAAGTGTCGGGAAAGCTCATAGTGTTATTATAAAAGAAAGAAACAGGTTAAAGCTGTACTAGACAACACCATCTAGTGAGGAAGATGATTCACTTCAGCTTATTCAAGAAGCAAATGAAGTTCAAGAAAATCTTCAAGAAGCTCCCCCAAAAGAACAGCTATTCTTGTCTCAGCAGGTATATGTCCCTGTTAAAAAAATAAATAAATAAAAACGTAAATTCGTCCCCTGCGATTTTTTTGGGCAAGTCAAGTCAAGTGTGTTCATAGAGGTTTCCATGGGCCAATGCGAATAAATCTAGATTTAAATTTAAAAAAGACACAATATTGTCAGACCTGACATTTTATTCTCATCCAAAACAACTAGATGCAATGATACATATGGACCAAAAAAATGCCGATTTTTTTGTTCCAGTCCAGCCCTGGTTTGTCCCTGTTAAAAAAAATCCAGTTTCCAATTTTGTCAAATAAATCTATTTTAAAGGTTGACTGAACTTTCAAATGTAGAAGTCAACATTATAAATACGTAAATTTATAGTTCAAATTTCAGGAACAACTTATATTATTAAAATATTAAAAAGCAGGAGCTTAAAATGTCAGGCTTTATGGTCAGGTCCAACTAATTGATCACAGATGATGCTCCTGAATAACTTGTGGGTTTTTTGTCAAAGTATTCTTATTTCAGTTTTGATGACAAACATTTGTTACTAAGGTTTAAGATATTTAGCTATTTAGTGCTTTTTAAATTATATTTCATTGTAACAGTTCTGTTTTGTTGCAAGTCACTATTAGAGTGAATAAGGTTTTCAATAAGTATAAATAACTGTATTGTGTACTGAATTCTCGGTTTGGTCTACACAAGTTAAAGTAACGGAGTATAATTATAATTTAAACTATTTAAATAATTGTAATTAAGTTCAATTAATAATCTACCACAGCCAGTAGTGCAGACGGACAGATGGATTTCTAGTACTTGGAACAAATTAGCCTATAATTAATAAAACATTTTATTTGTGAAGTGAATGGTCCATCTTCAAAAAGATCAGGGGCTTTTGGCAAAACATCAGGGGATTAAGCCCCCAAAGCCCCCCCCCCTCGCAACGCCACTGCGTTTAACCACTAATTGTGACCATTATTTAGCTATAAGTAACAAACAGCTCTCACTCACAGCATCATATACAAGTAGAACACCTACAGTACCAGGATGATGAAGATGAAAAAAGGGTGGACATGTCAGCAAGCCAATGATTGAATGATGAATCCCAAAGGAAACTCCGAAAAAGAAAGTAAAGCTGCTAGAATGGCCCAACCAATCACCTGACTTGAATCCAATAGAAAATAAGAACTAAAGATCAGAGTTCATAGAAGAGGCCCACAGAACCTTCAAGATTTGAAGATTTGGGCGGCGTTATGCAAATCTTCCCACATCGTGACGTAGATATGTGGGGGCGTGTTAGAACGAGCCGTTTTAGGTAGGCGTGGCTGACTCTGAACTTTTATAAAGAATATCTCTTTGGATTTGAGACTTTTGTCTTTGCAACTTTACAGATCTAATTCATGCACCAAGAGCTTGTAACACTCCAAAGAGAAAGGAACAATTGAAAGCGCATCATATGACCCCTTTAAATTGATTTCAGTAGTTCAATACTTTCCCCGTCATTCCATTTTATTACACATAACTTAATTTCTGAACTTATTTGTTTGGGTTTCTTTGTATGTATGGATTACTTGGGTTGTTATCGACATCTGGTGAACATTTCAAGTCAACAGCACCTTTAGAAATATATTTACTGAGAAAAGTGGTGATGTGTTCAATACTTATTTTACCCGCCGTAGATAGATATCAGCTGCACTTGAAGGCTGCATGTCTGTTCACATGAGGCGACCCACTCAATGTCAAATAAAACTGCTCATATGACATTCTTCAATAACTTCATTAATTTCTGTAGAGACTAACATTTTAAAAAGGAACCGAGTTCAGCTTCGAAGAAGAAAACCAACCTGTTTGTTCCTCCGTATCTTCTTGTTTCAGACTGAATACTTCTTCAATCCTCAAGTCTTCACTCTCCTCTTTAATAAACGCCATCTTTATAATCTCAGGAGTTTTTGCTCTGTGTTTCGGACACTTTGTCCTGTTTAAGATCAGAATAATTAACAATAATTAAATGCAAACTATATCGCAGGGTGCATCTTAATCAGTCAGAATGAGATGTAATTGATTTTCAAGTACCTAATTAGCCAAAACACTCATATTTAAGCATTTCTGATTTAGTTTTTGTATTGATTTGGTATGTATTGATTAATAGGTTATATTTTAATGATTTAATTGGCTATTGATTTGCAGTAGCCCCATCACACAATGTTAGTTTGTTGATTTCGTTGTATTTACATTGTTTTGACCAGAGTGTGTCTTCACTCGAGCTTCAAGTGGATCACTTTTTTTGATTCAGTTGTGGTTCATTTGACTCGGAGTTTCAAAAAGCTCCGTTTTCCTTCACGAATGTTTACGATGAACTGATTCACAATATAGGGCTCGAAATGAGAAGCACCTCGTTTGTTAAACATGCGCAGATACGCTTTATTCCCGAAGAAAATAACGTTTATTAAAGTTAGATAACGCATTACACCGTTTTATTCAATGAAGATGATTACTTGACAGTTATTATAAAAGTTGTAAAATAGAAAAAACAGTTTGCATCGATTTAAACAATTTAAATGCGGGGAAAAAAAACACAAACCTTTCTAGAGTCCAGTCCCAACAGATGCAGGGGCGCGGCGCAGCCTTATGATGTCACATCGTCAGGCCAAAATAAAAGTCCTGCTGTCTTAAAGGGGTAGTTCACCCCAAAATGAAAATTCTGTCATCATGTACTCACCCTCATGTCGTTCCAAACCTGTATGAGCTGTTTTCTTATGTTGAACATAAAATAAGATATTTTGAAGATTGCTGGTAATCAAACAGTTGGTGGTTGCCATTGACATCCATAGTAGGAAAAAAAAAATGTCCGTTTCTACAGAAATTAATGAAATTATTGAAGAATGTCATATGAGTCATATGAGCAGTTTTATTAATATTTGAATGCATTTTGGTATTGTTAATTTGTGTTATTTATTACCGTATTGGCCCGAATATAAGACGACCCTGATTATAAGACGAACCCCCTTTTTCCAGATGTACCTTTTGGAAAAAGGCTTTTTAAAAACCAAATCTTGTTTTTTCTCAGTAAAACACATTTTGCGTTCAATTATTTTCATATTGCATACTTTTCCTATTTTAATTGACGACTGCGTTTTTTCAGATGTATTTCCAAGAAAAAAACATCGTCTTATATTCGGGTCAATACGGTAATTATAGACGCCCGAGAAGAGAGGACGTTGCTAGTGTTACGTCCCAGGACGCATTTCTTATGTTTAATTCCGTTTACATCTGTGATGTATGTGGTCACCATTTATTTATTTATTTGGTGCAATGTGGTTGTACTTTGTTTTCTTTGTGTTGTCTTGTACTCCCTCCCTGGTTGTTCTCTCTCTCTCTCTGTCATCCCTTCAGCCAGGTATAGACATCAGCTGTGCCTAATTAAAACCCAGCTTTGGGGGTGACCTGATTGGTTGAGGAGATGGGAGCTGGTGGATAAAGCTGAGGTGGAAAGCCAGGAAGCTGAGAGAGTATTTGTACAATTACCAGCATGGGAAGACAAACACAGCCAACGTGAATACATCTAAATTTTCAGTTAAGTAATGAATGAATGCACAAGTTAATGAAACAATTATATTTTAGTTACTGAAAACCGGAAACATTAATAAATGAGTAAAAATAAAAGTAACACTGACAATAAATAAATACAAGTCATCGACACATGAAACAAAGCTTTATTCAAACATATTGTTCTAACAATCATGTATTTACAGACGGTGAGCCCACATCTACTGCATCTCAACACAGCTGAGACAGTTCTGCAGCTTTATTCTGATGAAGCAGCTGACCACTGTGTCCACCTTCACCTGTCTCTGCCGTCCATCACGACCTTCATTGCTGCAGTCAGACTGGAATCTGATCATGGATGGGAAAGGGACATCGAGGCTATCATTGCCTGAGTGCATAGAGAGGATGAGGAAGATCATGATGACACCCCTGAACCACACAATCTTGAACAAGAGCAGGAGAACATGTGTGGGACAATCTGACTGCTGCTGTGTCTGCTCCAAACATTAATGTGCCTGCTCTCCATGAGCACAACTACCTGTAAAACATTTACACAGAGTAAAACGCTTTATATCTCATGCTGTCAGCATTTAATTTCTTGTCAAATTTAATTTCACGTTTACAATTGCATGCTAATTTTTGATATAGCTTCATTACTTTTGTGGTGTACTGGACTGGTAAGCAGAAGGTTGCTGGTTTGATCTCCGCAGTCGTCACCACTGGTGTGTCTTTTCTCCAGGTTGCTCCAGGGGGATTGGGGTCCCTGTAATAAGAGCACTGTAAGTCACTTTGGATAAAAGTCTATGCCAAATGCAGAAATGTAAATGTGATTTTTGTAAATCCCTTTTTGTGTTTTAGGCACAAAGGCTCAATAAAGCTGCTTATTTCCTAAAGTTTATTTATTCAAGGTACTACTATACCTATATGTAAATGCTTACATATATTTCATACAATTTCTATTTGGGGGGTTTAAAGGGTTAGTTCACCCAAACATATACATTCAGTCATTATCTACTCCGCGCTGCTCAAGCCTTGTGGTTTTTTTCTGAACACAAAAGGTGATTTTGGTCAATTTTGTCCTGCTGGTTTCTGTTCATACAATATCAGTCAATGCAGCCTGACTTTCAGAAGCTTCATGACATTATTTGATGATGCTTTTGAAGCTTCTGAAACTCAGGTTTCATTGACTGATGTTGTTTGAAAAGAAACCAGCAGAACAAACTGGACCAAAATCACATCCTCAATGTCTTTTGGTCTTTCTCTAGATGCTCTCGCTGGCTCTGGGGTCACTGAGGATGAAGAGCTGGTCCAGATGAGGCAGTAAGAGCAGATGGAGTGATGGAGCGTCTCATTCATGGCACTGGACCATTTCCAGGATGCTGCTGTGTACTCTCCATCCTCACTGCTCACACCAGTCTGCAGACATTTCAGATCCTGCAAAGATGCACAAACACAATACAAAGCAGCCATTTTAACAGCACAATGTCATTTGATTTCTGTATTAGAAGTAACAAAATTATCT